CAGGCTGATGCAACGAAGGTTAAGATGGCAAAATGCCTGAGAATTGGTACAATCAAAGTATTGTTCAGAATCCCAATTTATTTGCTTGGTTGCCATATGTATCATATTTGTACCTTTTGGATGGCAGAGTCCAAGTTTTCTTTAAAAAAATAATACATACATACATACATACACACAAAATGCCCAGAGAAAGATAAAACATTTACATTTCAAGGACACAGGAAGAGAAATTCAAGTTCGTCCTAAAAGGGTTTTTGTAAGGTCAGAATTCTGAAAAAAGCTTTTATCAGGCTGGCATTTTTTAAAAACTTAACTGTATATGCAATAAAAGAGCCCTGCCTTAGTTATTTTTAGGGTGAGATTTTCATTAATTCCCAATTAAAGTTGTAAGCTTTCTACGTACATAAACCTGGCTGGTGTATTAGTTGGAGACTGGCAATCTGTCGTTCCTTTTTCTTTTGTTTTGAAAGTTATATTCCCTGTTTTAAGGTAAGTTTGTCAGTGTACAATTGCTAGTGGGTTTCCCTACAGGGGCATATGCATGGTATGAGGTCTTGGCCTCCACCACTCCTGAAAGTTTCTCAGTCACCTAAGAAAGCCGTTACCGGCCAAGAGGAGGGTCCCATCTTTGGAGCCGAACAGCTCTCATAAAATTTCAGTTTTATTTTAACAAACTCTATTAAGGTTGCCAATTCAAGCAAAAATGACAGGCCAGTTTTTTCCCTAATTACCCAGTCCAACCCTACACTCATTGTTCTCCTAACTGAACAAAGTTTTTCCAGTCTTTTAACTGAGGATAGAACCACTCAATGTCTAAACTGAGTAAAATCCTCCCAGTGCCTTCCACTGAGGATAACCCAGGTACTTCTTGAACCTGTTTCAAGGATAACCTATCCTCCAGAGAGGAGTTTAACACCACTGAATAAAACTTAGATCATCAACTAATAACGAGAGACCCTAGAACCAGGAGAGACTCATCCAAATTCGTATGGACTCTCCGAGGAGGCGGATGGGCCCAAGAGGCCTCTGCTGGTACCAAGGCTCCAGATCCTCGTAGAGTTCAGGCGAAGGAGAGGAGTCTGCTCTGGGTCCCTTTGTAATGGTCGCCAAAACTGTCGACTGAAATAAATGCACAGCCTTAAAGTCGAGAGTTATGTTTTATTTGGTGGACACTTCTGAGCCCGGGATAACAACCTCTCAGACTGCTCTGAGGGACTGCTCCAAAGAGGTACGGGAGGAGCCAGGATATATAGGAGTTTTACAACAAAGACCAGGTAGTCAGAACATTAAAGATTACTTGTTAACTGAAGAAAACCAGACATCCCAAGTTAAAGAATTTAGCTCTTTTCTCCTATGCGAGGGACCAAACGTTTGGGCTCATTGAATTCATCCCTTTGACAAGCACCCAGCTAGCCAGGGCCAGTATCCTGTCCTTTCTTATTCTGAGTCCCCTCAGGGCGCACTGCTGTGAGTGGCTGCAGAGGCTGGGCTGCAGGCTTGTCTTCCCTGGGGGGTGCGGCAGCCGCTGATGATTTGATAGCTTCTGCATTCTTTGTTTACTAGTATTCTCTGCAGTATTTTTCATTCACAGGCACATCCACAACTCTCTGAGATAAGTCCTCTGGGCCTTGGGCTTCTACTGAGACTGCTTAGGAATAATATCCTTCAACTTCTATTAGAAGTCCTGTTTTGTCACTTTAAGGATCTCTGAGGTACTGGCCCAGATTGTCCTGAGGCCTAAACAGAGGACTTATTGTCACATCCTTGGCTTCATCTTTACATCATATTTTTCTGGAAGGCTTCTAGATGCTGCCTTTGCCTAGAAGCCTTTTGTTAACTTTAGTATCTTTTGCCATCTAGGAGAGGCTGGGGATTTTCAAAGCAGCAGGTTCTGTCTCCCTTTTTATCTAAGCTAAAGTCCGTCCTTTACTTTAACTTTATTGTCTCCCATCTTGCCATGAATGGTAAGAAGACAGGCAGCACCTTCAACACTTCATTTTTTTTTAATTCCCACACCACTACACTACTTAAAAAGGGATCCTTTCCTCCAGTTTCCAATAACGTTTTTTGTACTTCCCTTTACACTCACAGGCAGGCTCCACAATGGCCATCAGGCTTCTGATAATGGTCTCTTCAAAGCATCTTTGACTATCTCTACCACTCTCTTCAAAGTCCTTCCAGATTCTGCCCTCTGGCCATTTCCAAAGCCATTCCCACCTTTCAGGTGTTTGCTTGTTTGTTGTTGTTTACCACAAAATCCTACTCTGTGACAACATCTGTTTTGTTTTCTATTGCTGCATGACAAATGCTTGGTCACATAGGTCATCTCTATTAAATGAGGTAGGGCTCTACTCTGGGGCATGAACACCAGGAGACAGGATCATTGGGGTGCTCTTAGAGG